TCTTTTCCAACCATAATGATTCTATGATTAAAAACTCAGCTTACCAAACTGAAAATTGGAGTAATTAGGGCAAACGTGATAACAGGCACTGAGCACCCCTTCCATCATCAGAGCGATGCCCATAGCATAAAAGAGACCAAAATGCTTTGGGATCCCGTAGTCCTGGAAGAGAGCAGAGCTATATATTAAGCACTCTCACTGTCCTAATGACAAGCAAGCTCCCACTCTCCATCACTTCATCCCTCCTAACCCCTACATGTGTCCTTCAGTCACCTGTGCAGCACAGCATGCTGCGTGCAACCAGAGGCTCTGCTTTTAGGCACATTGCACAGCCAGGTGAATTCACAGGCAGCAAACCCAAGCTAATCACACAGAAACTTCTGGTCCGAAGACTGCAGTGTCTCGGTATTGACATCTTGAGACTAAACATCTCTGTCCTGTACCTTGTGCCATGCTATATCCTGCCCAAAATTGAGAGAGCACCAAAGACCCAGAATAGCAGCCTTGCTCTTGTGGTCACTAGGGGGTTAAAAGCATCTGAGGAGCAGAGCCCACCAGCCCAGGTGAGAAGGCATCTCCAACACAATCTGGCTGAGATCTCATCTGAAAACTGTAAGCAGCAGACCCTTAAAAACTGCTAAAGCATCTTGGGATACTCTTACTGTCCCAGTTCCTCCACAACAAGCATTGGAGGAAAAGCTGCAGCCACAGGAGTTGTTCCTTTACTCATCTACTTGTCTTTGCAAGCCCAGGCTGGGTCACCATGGCAGTATGGACCTCCTGTAAGCAGCAAAGTACTGGTGTGTGCAAGAAAATAAGCACCTCACCTAGACCCCTGACCCCTTTTTCAGGGAAGGGGGGGTTGGGAGGGGGAAAGAGGATTCAATCCTCCAGCAAGGAAGGCAAATGGAAACCCACTGTGTATTTTGCTCTGGTCTTCAAGTTCTCCCTGTCTTTCCTCCCTCCACTCAGCCCCATGCAACCATGCTTCCTACCAGGGTATAGACATCTTTCATCTCCATGGCTCGACGGTGGAGGATATCCCTGCGCAACACAATGAGGAGGAAGAGAAAGCCCAGCAGCATGTGGCCCACATTGCTGAGGATGTTGTTGAAGGCACTGCAGGGAAAAAGAAGGTTTCAAACAAAGGCAGCACAGCAGCAGGAAGCTGAGTCCTGGGCCATGATAATTTGAATCCATTTCACTCCCTCCCCACTATCCTCCACCTCAGCAGCTACCAAACACCTGCCAGTTTTGCACCATGGATGACAATTTTAAGTTGAGTAGTTCACATACCCCAGTAGGTTTAACATTTCCTCTGTGATGTTCCCAATTCTGGGCTTTCTTTGCACTCCTGTATTAGTTTAGATAAATACTGCATTGAAAGGACTGATCTGAACTTCTTTGCAGAGCTGCTGCTCCTTGGCTACAAGTGAAAGTGTCCAAAAGAGCATGGGACCACCTCACTGCTGTGCCACAGGTTTCTTAGGGGAACCCAGGTGCCATGTGTTCCTGGGTGCAGGTGTCTCACTGCAACAGAAAGCCACAGCTGAGCAAAACAGAAAGCTCAGAGTCCTAAACTCTCAGTGGTCTTATCAACGAAGTTACTGTGAGCCTGGTAAGGATACAATCCTGACCTGTGCACAGCACAAACACTTGGGAGGCATGAGACAATAATGCAGTGATTGCAGGGCTCACTCACCTCAGCACCCCAAGGGGATGAGAGCACAGAAAGTTGTAGTAGCAGATGTCCTGATTGCCTGTGACGTTCACTACCTAGACAGAGAGGAGATGGAAGACCTGATATTAGCAAATCCTCCCTGTTCTGGGGGGTTTGCTTTGTGCAAACACTGCATGTACACAAGGCATACCAGGACACAGCCTAGCTCTAGCACTGACACAGCGAAGTACTGACATCTACAAGTGAAGCTTTTAGGGGGAGACAAGATGTTGCCACATGCCAGAAACCTGACAACAGCCTTCAGAGGAAATGTATTGTGTGCTCTCAACCTCACCACTGAGATCTGCTTGCAGATATCTGAATAACAGCAGGACAGCAAGGATGGGGCAGGGAGAAGGGAGGAGAAATCACTCGTATCACAGCAAACCCTACTTGCTTTCAGTTGTCTTTTAGAGATAACAGCAGATTCCTCCTGCCTCTAAAATTAAACAGGTCCCAGGTGAGACATCAGATAAGCAGGAAAACAGCTGCACTCCCGCTTCCCAAGCAAAACTAGCAGAACTACAAATTCAGCAAGCCAAGCCAGCAGGAACACTTAACTCATGGTGCAGGGAAAGCAGCTAAGGTAACCTGCCCCTCAGAGTAGGATTCCCGGGTGATCCCAGTTTCACTGCAACTGTCATACTTACACCATGCAACCACACAGCAAGTTTAAAGGCAAGAGGACCCAAGCACAGGGCAGAGCCACACAGAGCCCAACATACCGTCTGGTAAGTGATGACAAGCTGGATGACTGGCAGGGCATAAAACACGGCAATAGTGATGATGTTCCTGCAGAGAGGAGACCATAGCAGTAGTTACACACACACCAAAACAACCAGTGCACACACAGGACAGAACCCCACAGTGCTCATGGAGGAACATGTACACCTCGGTGCCTAAGGGCACAGACCCTGCTCTCCCAGCCAGAGCTTTATGCCTCTAGTTATGATCTCCTGAAGCAGAAGGGAAAACATGCTAATGCAAACAGGAGGCAAATGCTAACACCACAAGAAAAGCCAGGACGTGGACCACAAGCTCATGTGTTTGAGTGCCAATTTCTCCCCTTCTCCAGTATGTTCCAGCACACTGGTTGCTACCACACTTTAAAGTAATTATTCAAACCAGAATCCATTGCAAGGATCACGTGTGTACTGGTCCACAAATATCCTTATTTGAGGTATGTGGGATCTGCAGTTACTGATTGGAAAAGTAACAGGATGGCTCAAAGAATATCCTCAGGTCTAAAGTGTGGTTCAGAAGAAGGGCATGTGGACAGACTCCAGAACCAGAGAATGGATCCAGAGCTTGGGCCTTACCAGTTTTTCTTCTCCTTACCAGAAATAGATTTTGTATTTTTTGCTGACAATCCTTCGGTCCTTCCTGGACAAGTCTGATAAATAGAGGAACACCTAAAACATTAGTGGGTGTGGAAAGAGGGAAGAAAACAGAAAAGAACTAATGAAGACTACAGAAACCTGAAGAAGTTCTTGATGTATTTGGATAATACGCAGCTTGGTGCTATTTGGACCATTTTTTTTCCACAGCAAGCTCATTGTATCCCTTAAATCTCTGGGGAATGAGTTCTGCAAAACCCTCTGACCTCCAGGAATGTCTCTGACCACACAGAGCAGTGCAGGGTGACAACCGGAGGCATCATGAGAGCCGCTAGCTTAAAGACCCTCTGTACATCCACTGCAGTCACGCTACTCATGCCAGATAACTACCTACTACTGCACATTATTTTCTCCCTATGCTGTCCCACCTCCTTGGACTTTCTGGTACACTGAGCTTCTTCCTCCTTTCTCAGAAGTCCCCAATACATTCTGATTTTCCATATTAAATCACTCATTTCAGCAGCACACTTAGCACAACAGGAAAACTTTCCAGACTTTGAAAGAGCACTAAGAAGCACATTACACTTTATTAGATTAAATCCACCTAAAAGGGAAGCAGAAACTTAAAAATCCTGGCAAGTGACTAGTGCTGGTCCTAGCCCAGATAGGTCCATGGCCCAGCACCATGTCCACAGGTGCAATGCCAGCCATACCTTAGTGCGGATGACATTCTTATCACTTTCGATTTCTGGCATGGTGTCAAAGTCACTCTCCTCCTCCACAGAGCTGTCTGTGTCAGAACCAGCTGGTGGCCCACGCCCAGGGGAAGACAACTGCTGTCCACCGCTGGAGCTTGATTCATCTGGAGCAGAGCAGGGAGAAAAAAAAAAAAAACAAAACCAGGCAGGGTAAAAGATAATCCCCCTATGCACAGCAATGAGAAAGCTGCTCCAGACATCAGCAACAATCTGCTAGGACAAGTTGATATGGCCATTTCAGGGAACAAGTTTTTCCATGAGGACAAACGTTACTAAAAGTCTCAGATATCAGCTAAGAGCACTTTCAAGGACCATCTTCCTTCTTCTGCAGCATTATGATTTTCCCCCTGGTTTTATTCTGTTATTTTTAATCTCTAACATTTTCTACTCTTTTCTATCCTGGGTTCTGAAATCTGGGAGTCTGAGACAAGCCAGAAAGTTCTAGTGAAAGCAGCAGGCCGTTCAGGGGTTAGAAAGAGGCCGACCTATTTAATTTCTAGATTTTATATAAGCTTTTCTAAAAATATTGGAGAACAAAAAACTAAGAGGAAGAAAGTAAAATTTTCAAAGCAGGCAGAGCATCAGCTTTGCTGCCGTTGCATGCACAATATTGGTCACCTGCAGGTCAGCAAGACCTGCCTGCACTTCCCACTGGCTGGCCAAGCTCCCAGCCAGCCCATTGCCCATACTGGCATGAGCAGAACAAATTTCTTCTTCATTTCCCAAATGCTTTTAAAGCATTTCTTCAAGAACTGTCGGGGAAGAGGTGGGGTGGTCCTGAAGCCCTCAACTCTCTTCCAGGACTTAACTCCTCCTGACATTTTCCAAACCTCATGAAATATCAGTTCTGTGTTTCTTCATCAGAAGTTCAGAGATATCACACCTTCACAGTCCAACCAACAACTGGGTGACATCTGGAGTGTCAGGGCTGTCTTTACACTACAGTGTGCAAATGCATCCTGAGAAGGGGTGAAATATTACAGAGCTGCTCCTCTCTCATTTGAGCAGCTGCCTCACGCTGCCCTGGACCTGAACCACATCACCCTGCACCTGGGTCCCCAAGCTGCAAAATTCAAGGATTATGCCCCAAAAGTCCACAGCACTGAGTTGTTCAATACCAGTCTCTCCACTGGAGGGAAAACTGTTGTAAGGAGACTAAAAAATAGTCTGGCAAAGGAAGGCATTTCCCATCATCTTAGATTTGCAGGACCGTTGGGAGTTTTTCTCCTCTGCTGCCAGCATGACATTATTTCTCCGCTACTGAAACTTCTGACTGCAAGAAGCTCCGACTCTGTCTTGCCTTGTGGCACACAATCCCTCATCCTTCCAGTGAAAGGCATGCTTTGGTCTAAAGACAGGCTTGATAAGCTAATAACACACTCAAAGCAGCTTGGTTGGAAGGGACCTTTGACAGTCCCTAGTCAACCTCCTGCCTGAAGCAACACTGTCATCAACACTTATCAGATGACTGTGGCTTCCTCTAGCTGAGGCTTCATCATTTCCAATGACAGACTCTCTGGGCACCTCTTCCAAAGATTTGCCACCTCTTTGGTGTAGATTTTTTCCCCCTAAAGTCCAACCTGAACCACTGAAGCTGCTTTTTTTTTTTTTTTTCCAAGCAGTTGTAAGCTGCTACTAAAGCAGTTTGCAGCTTTATTACCTTCTGGCTTTAAAGGACTTTAAAGCACCTTGCCCTGCCCCAGGCAGAACCCTCCGCATGTCCCCAGTTCTGGAAGATACTGTACCGATAGCACCGTAGCTGCTTCCCTCAGGGGTGCTAGCTGTGATGGGGTGCGAAGACGCCCTAATCCCAGATCCTGCAATGGAAACAGATCCCAAAGGACAATTAGTTTCATGTCAGTGCTTCAAAGCACATCTGAGGTAAATACAAACAGCTTTAAGAGCTGGAGGGGCTTGGGAAAAGCAGCTTTTCTCCAAACAGATGGCAATATCCCTCTAGAGCATACTGTGCAAAAGGGAAACGCTTGCTTTACAGTGTGAAGAAAATCCATTTCTTTCAGCCTCCCCACACAGGCTGGCAGTTTGACTCACAAAAGCACAAGCCTCCCTCCAGCACACTGAAGGGATCACATTATGGGGCTGCAAGACTTGGGAAATTCTAGAGCAAGTCTTACAATATTCAGAGCACCCTTCTGAACTTCTAATTCTTCCCCTTCCCCTTCTCACGCATTGATGTACTCAAATATTGCTACCTCCAGTTACCTCTAGAAGAGTCAGACAGCCTTTGTCAAGACAGCTGATACGTAGTTTTAATCAAGCAAGGAGAAAGCAAAAAGTGATCTTGTCCTGATGACAAGAAGGGCAAGTCTTTGAGGGCTGGGAAGTCCTTGCCTCCCACGCACACACCTGAAGCAAGGAGGGCTGCAGGTTACATTGCGACTTTCACCTCCTACCTCTACATTCCCTCCTTCTGCCTCCATGGTGGGTATCAGCTGCTGAACTGGCAGCAGACAAACCTGGCAGGCAACTCAGCCAGCTGAATCCCCTCACTGAGGGGTCAAACACCCATCTCCCCAGAATGGAAGGAAACAAGAGCAGCATCTTCCAGAGGTGGCAGTGAACAGTGAGACAGGTAACGCTTCACCTTTGCAAAAACACTGTGTGGCTAGTCAGCAACAAAGGGATACAGGACATAGGACAGCATTTAAAGCCAAGCAACCCTACTGCAGCCTGGCAATAGCCTGGCTTCCCAAGCTGCATCTCTGGCTTCCCAGTATCTGATCTGTCTCAAACTGACAGGCACAGGCAAACTCTTCTTTCCAGCTGGCAATTCTGGGCACTTCTACAACACCTGTGGGTTTTTATACCATTTCCACTAGCTCCATGTGGGAGCCCAACAGCCCACAACTTTGCCCTGCCTGAGTCCAATTCCTAGGCAGGGGAGCACCTATACAGCAACGACATTTGATGTTTCAAGTCCAGATTACTACTTCCTTTTACACATTCACTGTGCTTGTTGGGCTGTGGGCTAAGACTTGTTCTCCATTTCAGCTTCTTTACCCTCCTGCCCCATCCCTCTGACAGGGCAATGAACAGCTTGGAGGAGCATCAGAAGTGGACAACATGGACTGAGCACCAGAGGGAAGGCTCTGGCACACCACAGCCCCTGACATGACACCCCTTTGGCCCTGAGCTGGGATTAGCAGGATGTTGTAGGTTGCTGCAGGAGTAGGATCCACCTTGTACTCGTCACCTGCTGTGCAACCCTCCCTCTCTCGTGGCAGTTTTTCCTGTTGCTTTAAGGTCATTTGGAAATCTATATCACTGAGAAAAGGGTGAAACAAGCATTTTTCCATGTCCATGACACCAAGACACAAGCACACTTCCTACTCCTGAAGGTTCTGTCTCACAGGGATGTTCCTGTCTTATTTTAGACAATTCTTTATGCTCTCAAGTGACCTGTCAACCTTATCTCCCAAGTAACCAAGGGAAGATTTACATCTGGACAAAGCAGGAACACCAGGGAGAACAGGCACTCTGCCCGGTCTCTAAGAGCTGCTTCAGACCCAGTTTGCCCACTAATTTCAGTCCCACTTCCCAGCATGCAAGTGAGTCAGCAAAGTAAATGTACCACACTAGGTGTGGTTCCTCCACCCATTGCCTCCACCAGATAGTGATGATGGGAGGTGTCTCACAGGATTAAAAAAAGTTAACCACAGGAGCCAGGCATAAGATGGGTACCAGGGGCAAAGGGGCACATGGAGTTGCAGGATATAACAGGCAGATTACTTAGCACCTTCATCCACACTTTCTTGGTGGGGAAGGGGAAAGGAAAGGGGAGTGATAGAGAAGGCAACACCCAGGGGAACTTGAGGAAGGTGATCTGGAAAACAGGGAAGACGCTAGTTACCACTTTATAGGCATCAGTCAGACACACTCTGAAGAGACACGATACAGAAAGAAACAGCACATGGGTAGGATGTGGTTCTTCCCCAGAGGAAAGGACATGGCTGTGACATGAAGTGCCAGACATGTGAACGTGGCATAGAGTATGAGGGAGCAGGCAGGTCACAGAAGGAGCAGGTGCCTCAGAGATAACTTGTAAATTGTGAAGGAACTGTGTTCTTCTGTCCTTTCACGGGGATGTTGTTCAGCAATCCTCCCTGACAAGGAAACCCAGTCCTCTGCCCTCTAGGTCTGTGCTAAGCACAGCATCTGTGCCCTGCAGCTTCTTTGGGAACTTTCCAAGCACCACCTCTTGCCAGGGCAGCCTGGAAAGCACCTTCTTAGCTGCCTTCAGCACTTGCACCCTCAGCTGCAGCACCAGCAGCACTCCCTGGGGCTTCTGGTCTCACCCAGCTGAGACTGTGCCTCCTGGCCTTAGACAGTGATCCCTTGTCACCAGCCTGGAGCTCTTCCAGGGCCTCAGCCAGGTCCCTTCAGCTTCCCCAAACTCCTGGACACACAGGCCCTTCCAATTTCTCCAGTGCCCTAAGACCTACAGTTGTCTCTTCCAAATGACATAAATTTAGAATATTTTTTAAGCATATTTTTACAGTCCCCTGCTTATTTGGTTTTGAAGAAAACCTTTCACACACATTCCTCATACAGGGATGCCTATGTGGATCCCAGCACTGAAAAAGCCACTCCTGAGAAGTCAAATGCCCCCAGGTCCTCAGCAGAAATATTAACCCAAGTAATGCCAGGTCAGAGTGAATTTCCAGTGCTGATCCTTTAAGCACAGCTCAGTTATACTGGTATGCCTATCTGATGGTATCTAGCAGACCAGAGAGACTGAAGAAGCTGAGGATTAAAAAAGGGAACACACCAAGAGCTTTTCAATGCTGCCAAAACGTAATGTACTTCCTTTCCCCCGGAGAAAGGTATGAATGATAATGACTTCATCCTCAGACCACTGGTTTGAACTACTTTACAGGCACTAAATATTTAAACAAAATGAAACAGCCAGCCTCCTACACTTCTCCAGAAAGCAGAAACTCTCAGTGCCGCCTGTCTATATGACAAAAATTTTCATCTTTCACTGGTAGCCTCTTAGATGTGGCTATGATTTATAACGCAGAAATCTGCCGTATGTTGAAATGTGGGTGCAGCATAAAATAAACTGAATACAATACCAAAGTAAATAACACAAACACCACTACCTAACTGTATTAGTCATTCATTCACTTGGTTGTCTGCAACTTGCAGTTACAAACAAATGAAAATTTAAATTAAATTTAAAAGTTAGAGACCCCATGTTTAAACCAGGCATAGGAAATCTTAAAGCATAACAGCTGACAAACTCAAGTGCCTTGCTTAGAAACGAACAGACCTGGTAGCAGGAACATTAGCCTGTAGCCAGGTCTAGCCAAGGCTTGTCCTTCCTCCACCCCTCTAAAATCCTGCTCCTCAGGGCAGGGGTCAGGACCAGGTTCAAGGGAGCCTGCTTCAAATGCCCTCTCTCCTGAGGGCAGAGAGGAAGCTTGAACATCTTTCATTAGCACAAGAGACTATATGGTACATGCACATGGAAGAAGGCTTGAAGGGACAGAAGGCACTGATAACCTGTCCCTTGCCTGGCCTGGGGCCTGAACTGTTCACTTAAAGCTGTCATACAACAGAAAAGACACCTTACCATCCTCAGGACTCCATCTCCCAGCTGAAGCCTTCCTCCGAACCCTGAAAAAGAACAGGCAGCACTCATGAGAAAGCCAACAAATGCCATCACCGGCCAGCCATAGCAGGATTATCTAGGACACCAACAGGTAAACATGGTGCAAGCTCTAAAAACCAAGCAAACAAAAACTCAGCAAAAAGAAACAAACAAAAAAACACTGTTTGGACTAGACACGGCTCAGCCATGACTGCTTGCTGTCCACCTCTCCAACTTCCAAAATCAACAGGGGGGGGTTTACCCCTTCAATTATCCACCAGACGCAGGACAAAAAGTTACATGACTGTCCCATCCTACGCTGCTCAGCATGTTGGGAGAGACTGACCGAATTCCAAAGGCCTTCCCAAACCAACTCCGCTGTTAAGGGATTGAGTGCATAAGAATCTGCTGAAAGGGCAGCAGGAGCTAGAGGTACATATCAGCATGATGTTTGGGTGGGAAGGAAGCTTAAAGATCATCTAGTTCCAGACCCGTGCCATGGGCAGGGACACCTTCCCCCAGGTTGCTCAAAGCCTCATCCAGCCTGGCCTTGAACACCTCCAGGGATGGGGCATCCACAGCTTCTCTGGGCAACCTGTTCCAGTTCCTCACCACCCTCACAGTGAAAAATTTCTTCCTAATGTCTAGTCTAAACCTACTCTCTTTCATTTTAAAACTTACCCTTCATCCTGTCGCTACACTCCCTGACAAAGAATCCCTCCCCATCCCTCCTGTAGGCCCCTTCAGGTACTGGAAGGATGCTATAAGGTCTCCCTGGAGCCTTCTCTTGTCCAGGCTTAACAACCCCAACCCTCTCAGCCTGTCCTCATATGGGAGGTACTCCAGCCCTCTGATTATCTTTGCGGCCTTCCTCTGGACTTGCTCCAACAGCCGCATATGGGAGGTACTCCGGCCCTCTGATTATCTTTGCGGCCTTCCTCTGGACTTGCTCCAACAGGTCCATGTCCTTCTTCTATCAAGGGCCCCAGAGCTGAACTCAGTACTCCAGGTGGGGTCTCACAAGAGCAGAGTAGAGGGGAAGAATCACCTCTCTCGACCTGCTGTTCACAATTCTTGTAATGGAGCCCAGGACACATTTGGCTTTCTGGGCTGCAAGCACACATTGCCTGGTCATGTTAAGCTTTTCATCAACCAACACCCTCAAGTGCTTCTCCTCAGGGCTGCTCTCAATCCATTCTCCTCCCAGTCTGTATTTGTGCTTGGGGTTGCCCCAACCTGTGTGCAGGACCTTGCACTTGGCCTTGTTAAACTTCATGAGGTTTGCACAGGCCCAGCCTGTCAAGGTCGCTGTGGATGGCATCCCTTCCCATCAGTGTATCAACCACACCACACAGCTTAGTGTCGTCAGCAAACTTGCTGAGGGTGCACTCAATCCCACTGTCCGTGTCTCCAACAAAGATTTTAAACAACACTGGTCCCAGTACCGACCCCTGCGGAACACCACTCATCACTGGTCTCCACTTGGACATCAAGCCATTGACCACAACTCTTGAGTGTGACCATCCAGCCAATAGGATATTCTCCTTGATAAGATATTCTCTCACAAGAGATGCAGATATTCTCCTCAGCGCAAGCCTGGGCACTAAGGTCTGGGGTAGGGGAGGCAGGTCAGGAGGGAAACCAGTACCCTTGGGACTCTGAGGCCCTGTTTGGGTCACTGCCACTTATTGCAGTCCTTGGTTGAATACTCTGGGTCATACTTTAGTTTCCCAGTCCTCTGACACCCCATATCCCAGATAGCCCCATCACAATTCCCAACTGCCACCCAGTGTCCTCATATAAGGAAACCAGTGGTGCGACACTACGAAAGCAAGAGGGTAGAGCCTTGGGTTTTCATCATTGCCATGATGCCCACAGCAGAGAAAGAGAAGTTTTCTGTCTGACAGTCAAGTAAGAGCCCACTGAGTAGTCATGGACTTGGTTGGCTGCTCTGTTCAGACGCTTTGCCAGCCCACTTCCCCTGAATTCACTGCAGGGTGAGGCATCTCTGAGGATTAACAAACAGAAAAAACCCTCAACTCACCTGATGTAGTGCACAAAAGCAACCACCACTGAGCCCAGGTAAAAAGAGAGGAAACTCAGGAAGCTGAAGAACATGGCCTGGACATAAACAGACTCTGAGGAATGAGAAGGCATCAGTCAGCTCACCGAACAGGGACAGCTCTCTCAGAACTAGCACTCCTGTCATTCTCTTCCCAATACCAACTGGTGACAATGCCTAGCTCCAAACAGTCCTTCAAGAGGAATCAGCAGAACCTCTTGCAAGGTACCCCCCCATTTCTTCACCCCCAGTGCTAGCTGGTGTGCCTGTGAGACCACTCTGTGCTACACAACACCTCCTGGAAGAGACCAGGGCTGCAATGGTTTTGACTCCTCTGCTGGTGCTTCCTGCATCATCTCAGAGGGGTGCTGGCCCAGCCATACCCTTCTATGAAGAAGTGCCAAGTCCCCCCACAAAGCTGCATTGCTCTGCACAAAGACACTGACTTTTAATAGAGGGCACAATCGTCACTTGAAGGTTCTTCGTCCGCTGCAAGTTCCAGGTACGGTTAACATTCCCTGTGAAATGCAAAGCATACAACAAATGTAAAAGCAATCAAACATTAATGATCTCTGTCCCTTACCTCAGTTGTCCGCACTTGCAAAATACACCAGAGTCTGGCTTTTCACTGAAATCTATGTGTGGTTTTGCTCTAAACCTTTCCCAGACTTGTTACTGTACAGCCTTTTCCATATGTTTCCCCCCCTCCCCTCTATCCACAGCCTGTTTTTAAGGGTGACCCTGCTTGAGTCTTCTAGATGTTGCTCAAGTCTGGATGCCGGAATCCCACAGGCATCTCATCTTCTACTTATCTAGTCTCCAAAGGACAGTTTCTGCCACTACAAATACTAGGACACCATTTTTGCCTTTGGCCAAAATTCTGCTGGCAAAACATTTCCGTGCAGGATGCCGTGCTGAAGGCTTGTTATGTTTCAGCGGGGCTTAGCACACCCTGCCAGTACAGCTCTGCTGATAGCTTTAGGATAAGAGAAAGACACTGTGACAATTATATTTTTTTTAGTGTGGGAATTGGGGGAGCCCAGTGTGTCTGTTGGTTGTAGTCTTGCTTCTCCTACAGGGAAGCCATCCAGCTTTGAGGATAGGAACGTCCCTGGTCTGAAATGGTCTCCAGCTTGTCATGGGGACAGCTGCAACTCTACCTCCAGTTTCACCCACCACAAGTGGTGGAGGCTTTGCTTTCACTACTGCCTGGGATGTGGACACACTGTTTTGTGGCTGGGAAAGGTACTAGAACAACTCTTGCAAGATTAATCCACAAAAATTACTCATTTTTCCTGCTTCCCTCAAGTCAGCAGGCTGTCATAGTTCCCAAGACAGCAGTTGGAGAAGGTGCTCTCTGCACGAATTGCCACCTGGGCCCCTCCACACAGGCAGAAGGATAATACAGCAGTAGGTAAAAAACAAAAAAAAGGTGCAAGCAGCACTGCTTGGGTGTCTCCCGTATCTCCCAAGACAGCAGTGACTCCTCAGAAGAGCATGCAACTTCAGTAAGTCAGGTGCTATACTAGCCAGCCACTTCCAGGGTTGATCAAGACTCTTAACCTACCCAAGAATATTAAGTTTATACTTCACACTTCCTCACAGTTACCTAGATAAGGTAGAGCTTATGACCATCCCATGTCATCCCACAGGAAGGTCCCCAAGGACTCCTGCTGCTCTACCGCCTGGATGCAGCAACCAAATTCACCTGCCAGTGAAACATACCATGAATGGAGGAAGGCACAGAACCCCCACAGGCGTAATCCTCCGGCTTGATGACAAACACAACGAAGAACTGCTCACCTGGGAAGTCCTTTCTCTGCATGGGAGGGCAGAAGATGACAGAATCCGTGAGAAGTGAAGCAGCCTCTCTCTCCAATGCAAAGCAGATGCGACGATCTCCCCAGAGCCAGAGAAGCTGCTACACAAGCACCAACCTTGCGGAGACCTGCCTGTTCTGGACAGAGCTGGGCTTCTGAGGATGCTGCCCTCAGCCTTGCTGACAACAAGCTAACCGAGTTCATCAGTATGCAGTACAGCAGTGCCCCAGTACAAGCCAACCAATGCTACTGCATTTATTTATTTATTTTAATTAGCACAAACCATCTACCTAAGCTTTGCTCATTATAAGGCCCTACTACCACCACTTGGTGGTAGAAGAGCTAAGGTCTGAAAAGAAGACACCTGGCTGCAGCCACTCTGACCTAGAGCCTCAGCACCTAAGACAAAACACACCTACCTAAGCAAATATAAGCAAGGTTTTGTAGTAAAAGGTAACATCTCTTCTTCTACTGGTATCAGCTCATCTATTAAAAACAAAGGATCTCAGCCATACCATAATCAGCAAAATAAAACTAGGGATGCACAAGACAGGCCACTGGAGAGAAAAAAAAAAAACAAAAAAAAACACCACACCAAACAATATCACACTGGGACAAAAAAAATCAGCATCTCACCTGCACTGTTATAGCTGCTTGCTTTGTCATAGACTGGTAAACACCGTTGAACTCCACATTATGGTCCAGGTCATACACTGGGCACTAAACCAGACAAAACTAAGGGTTAAACCAGGCACAAAATCCAAACTAATTTTGTAGGGAGCTGGCAGGAGAACAGACAGTGCAGAGCAGTAGAAAGGTCCTGCTTTGGATGACAAAGATAACAAAACAACCAGAATTTGTTCGCAAGTTAGAAAAGCTGCTCTGAATACACCGGTTGTGGGGAGCACACACTGATCTCAGCTTTCTCACAAGAGGGCTGCAGTTTAACTCCAGATGAAGATTCAGCTAGATTGATCACTCCACCATTCCCACAGGGCAGTGGATACTCTCAGCTGTACACTGGCTATATCACACACTTTGCAGTCTGTACTATACGCCAAGTGCTTGCCCTCATTTTACTCTTTCACTACTCTTAGTATCCAACAGGTTAAAAATTACCTGTTACAGTCTCTCCTCCTGCCCTTCTACCATGCAAACACAGGAATGCGGGCAGGAGTTAATGTTACCCCTTTCTCTCCTCACCCCAGATATTAAAGGCGACTGCCAGGACCTCAGAGCCAGCAGCCAAGGCATCTTGCACCTCTGTCACCATCTCACTGCTCCCACACTGCAGGTCCCTGCATCAAGGAGGTGCGAGAAGAGGAGAAACGTGCTGCTATTTCCCAGCTGTGAGCTACAGCCAGCCTCCATGGCAGGCAACAGCTGCTCTCCCCTTCCCAGGAAAGGGGAGGAATAACTGTGGAGAGGGGAAATCAAATTGGAAAGGAGAAGAGACCTCACTCATGTCTGGAAATCAGAAATTCCCCAGGCTGCCTTGAGCCAGGAGAGGGTCAAAGGAACAGCACTCTCCCCTCCCTCAGCCACCAGCATCCCATCCAACACCACTTTATGGAGAGACACACCCACGACACAAGGCAGCAGGGTGTTAAACCTCAGAAGGGGAACATGATAACAAATGTCCTATGATCAGGCCAGGGAGGAACAGCTTGCTCACCTATTTGCAATAAAAATCTCTATGAGCCACTTGAACTCAGCATCTCTGTCTTTGCCTCCTTCCCAACAAGATTCTTTATTTCAGGTGCACCCTTCACCACCACCACCACCCTAGGGTGAAGCCCTTTCTAAAGCTTTTCTCTCTGTTGGCACACAGATTCCCTCACAGCAGGACGCAGAGCTCCAGCAGGCAGCTCCTTACCTTTCTCTGCTCAGACTCACCACAATATCCTGGACAGAGACAACCGAGCATGGGTAGACTGCATCAGACACCACTTTGATGACGACCGAATCGACATCCTGAGGAAACTTGTACAGAAAGTACTGAGGAGAAAGCAGAGTACTGAGAGTTACAGCCCAGAAATCATCCCTGCCAGTAGCTTTAGAACCTCCCCAAGGTACCTGCATAGCCCAAACTGGACTTTGGGATTGGATGTGAACGTCTTTCACTAAAATTCTGATTTCAAATATTAGGGCTTTACACCACAGAAGAGCAGATTAAATATGTACAGACATCTCTCCCCCTTGCACAGCATGCTGTTAGACAGACATCTTCAACATGCAAGATACAGCATAGTTTCTGCTCCCCTTAAGCTTTTTTCCTCCTGATCAAGCTAAAATGACTTCATTTTATAGCCTACTCCATTTTATGTTGTTATGAGCAATTTCCAGATGTTTCCATACTGCTGGCTGTACTTTATATATATGGAACATACCATGGAGTTTATCTCAGATGGGTTACCTCAAAGACAGACTGTGGAAAGTATTAGGTCAAATAGCTGAATTCTGTCAAGAGTCTCATAACTAAATGCCTGATATTAGTCATAGGATGTGGAGTTTTTGGTCTCATTTGGTTTTGAGGGCAAGGGGTAATGGGGGCTTCTCTTCTCACCTAAGCTTTGAAAATAATTCAGCTATATCTCTGAAAAAAAAAAAATTGTGAGAGACCAACATCTTCTAATATTCCTACTTTTCCTCTAGGAGTAAGGAATGGTGTTTCTTGTGCTTCCATGCTTTGAGCAGGCCCACAGAACAGTCTGTGGGGTCAGGAGATGCCCTTCCCTGTCCCAGCAAGGGCTTTTTCAGATTTGGGTAAAAGATATCCCAGGCAACATGATTATTTGCATATTTTTCCAGTAAAAGTTCAAGGTACTACACCAGCCAGCTGTTGGAGAAGTAGGGTTTCTGTGCCCACCCTAGCGGGCAGGCTTGTCCCCTTGTCCTGCTTGGAGCCCAGACCTTGAGAGCTCATGCTTAGTCACAGCTACCTACCAGGAGCGGCCGATGGGCATCTCACCCCACCTCAGGGGGATGCCAGGCTAAGGGTTGCCACCAGCCACCTTCCTCCCTTCCTTATGGTCATCTGGCAGCCCCTGCTGCCACCCTGGGGCAGAAGCTACCGCAGCTCCTGCTCCAAAACTGTCACCTGAGACATTACCAACTGTCAGGCTCCCTTTACGTCACATAAACTGTAGTGCTGAGCCAAGGCCAGGTGTTTCCTAGTTACCTTCACCCCCCCTTTTTTTCCATCCCCTTCCTGGGAAGTAAGGCCCCCAACTGGAAGGGCAGGAAAAAGTAAGAAATCACCCAGGCTTTTCCCAAGTTTTCCCATTTCTACTAAAGCATTTATTCCCACCACCCCTCTCCAAGCAGGGTCCCTTCACCGCTGAGGGAGCGCTTGCTCCAACTGCAAGTCCTTACAAACCAACAACTCACCAAGCCGGTTTCTCTAGTGGAAGTAAGGATGCTGGTGAGCTTCCCGGTTTCCCGGGCACGCTACCCTTGTAAAGCTTTAGGTCCTCCAGGAAGTCATCCATGAGGACCCTTCTATAACTCTATTTTTAAGTTACACTTATACCAGAGTACAGAATTAACATAAGAGGCATTGACACTTACAGTTCTCTCCTGCACAGACTGTGAGTGGTATAAACATCCAGACAACACTCCTGACTCATATGAGCGTATCTAATTTCTCTTCCTGCCCTCAGGCATGAGCTGGGTTCTGGACAACAACTTCCTTCAGGTGTTACACTTGCCTTTTTCCAGTCTTAGGGCTATTCCAACACTCATCTAGATTTTTGAATTGCCTTTTTCTTTCTTCCTCCTGCAGACTACTTAATACTTTGACTTACAAAAACCTCAGCATTATACCAATTAAGAGGCACTCATCTTCTGCTCTCCACATCTGGCCTATAATTAAAAGTCACCAATCTCATATTAATTGAGACAAACAACAGACCAAAGTAACAAAGTTAATTGTCAGATCCTAAACCCTCTACATTCAAATTACAAGATTCTAAGTAATGAGGATTTATAAAACCCAACGCCATTCCCTATGCTTCTATAGTATAAAATACTGCATGCATCTGCAAACCAGCTTAAGACATTTGACAGCAAAAAGGATTAGCTGGGATGCCTGGTAATAGGAAACCTAAAATTAAGTGGTGTTACTAACAGTGCTAGCAACAACAGACATGGAGTACCAGATAGCCTGGGTGAACTGCGTACTCTCCCAGCTCTATGAGCTCCTGTACCACTATAGTTACTGTCAACAGCATCTTCATTCAAGAGCTGGGCTCTAAACAGGGCTGCTCAGCTGGATACACTGTACATGGCTTCTCCCTTCTGAACTAATAACCAGACATATCAGGCACTTCATTTATCACCTCGCAACTTGACTTGCTGCCTGGGCAAGGAATAGCAGTCTGACCTCTGTTATACCTTTACAGCTTAGTTATTTACGTATTTATTTTTCTTCAGTAAAGATTGCATCTTTACTGGAGAAAATGCTAGGGCAACTGAACCAGTGCTGGAAGGTGCACACCATCTCACTTCCCATGACATGTAGCAGCGCAATGGCCTCTGGACTTCTGTACATTTCTGGAATTTCCTGAACTGCAGATACTATTCGTTTGCTCTGGTCATGGTTTTTGGTTCACTAAATTGCTTTGCAAGAGAACCCAAACATGTCCTTAGAGGTGCTGAGGCACTGCTACTACTTCTTTATATCCACAGAAAACTCAACAGTAAGGAAGTTTCCCTGAACCCTAAGAGGGAAATGACCTAATCACATAAGACTTTTGCCATCTCTAACAAAGGATCACACCAACCATTCAGATGTGGTAAGATATACAAGCAACACCACACAGGACTTCTCCTTACCTGGGGCTGGGAAGGACTGGCAGTAAAATTAAAGGCTTTGTTGGTCCTAGAAAAGAAATACCAGCATGTTGAAATCTAAAACTTTCAGAGTTGGAATACACACAGATTACCTTCAGGTTAAGGCAAAAAAAAAAAAAAAAAAAAAAAAAATCTTTCTGGGAAAGAAGAGTAGGTAGATGAACCACATCCCTCTAACAAATATATGAAGAAATTACATTGGTATTCTCACATCCCAGCTTACTCAAGTTGGAAGTTCTCGAGTCTGGTAACTAGCAGCTCATATGCAATATTAAATGGTGCCATGGAAGCGACGTCCACAAATATAATCTGCTCAGAGGGTCTTGTCTCAGGTGTTGGCTCAGAGGGACAGAGGGTCCGACTCACTTCTTGGTAATTGTAGGTCCTCTGATAGCTACAACAGCCAGGGGAAGAAACAAAGGGAAAGTTGGAAGAAAAAGAGAGGGAGTGTTAAAAACTTGTTCTGCTTTTCAAAGAATGACATAAATTCTCCCCTGCTTGCATAACTGAAATACTAATCTGAAAGGCCAAGACCACTCAGTCTTTTATTCAGAGCTCAAACTCCACTTCTGTTCCCTCTTGTCCTCTGCACAAGAGACTGGCCATCCCCAGCATTTCACTTCCCTCGAGGCTGCCTGTGCCATCTGCAGATCTAGCACATCTGCCAAGTACTGGAGGCAGAGAGAGCATGACAGCCCACAACAGCCACTGCTGTAACTATCCTCTGCATCAGGCAAGACACTGCAGCATACCTGCTGCCTGGCACCAGGATTTCAATCACAGGATGAAGCTTCATATCCGAGATGGTCTAAGGGGTCTGCAAAGTCTCAGTACTTGCAGCCTAACTATCTCTGACAGCAGCATCACTTTCACAACGAAAACATCCCCAAAACAACCACCACCCCTCATAATAGACTCAACTTAGGTATACCTGGGGTGACAAACAGAGAAGAGCCCTTATTCCCTAAATGCACTGTAACCCAGTTAGGGTGCTCTTTTGAGAGCCTGTTCAAAGCCTGCTCCAAACTAGAGCCCAAGAACTAATTGCATGCACCATAAGCAACTGTGGAAATTATGACAATGCCATCTGGTAGATGCACCCTCTAGTGACAAAGGCAGGTCCCCAGCCAGACAAGCCTCCTGGTACTCCGCGTACATATTTAAGAAACTAAGAGACAAGAGCAGGCTGCCAAATAAGAGGTTACCTACCAAATCCTGGTCTTCCTACATTCAACTGACAGTGTGCAAGCATGGTTTGCAACCAGGCCCTGCAGTCTACATAAGTAGCAAAATCTAGCACCAAAGAAAGCCTGATGCTGAGTACAGCTGGCAGACAAGTGTGTTACAAGGAAGAGACTCCAGTACTTACAGGCCTCGAAAAATTAGTGGGACTTGCCATGACAACACTCCCTTCTGCTGGCGAACTACAAACAGGACAGGATACTGGAGGTTCTCAGAGCTGCTGTTCACGTACACCCGCACTGCATCTACCTGTGAAAAGAGAAAGGATAATACAGATAGGCATTAGCCAAAGAACAAGACAGCTCCAAATCATTGAATCATTAAGGTTGGAAAAGACCTCAAGGATCATCAAGTCCAACTGTCAACCCAACACCACCTAACCCACTAAACCATGTCCCTAAGCACCACATCTACCCGTTTCTTGAACACCTCCAGGGATGGTGACTCCACCACTTCCCTGGGCAGCCTGTTCCAATGCTTGATCACTCCTTCACTGAATAAATTTTTTCTAATATCCAGCTTAAACCTTCCCTGGTACAACTTGAGGCTGTTTCCTCTTGTCCTAAATCTAGGTGGAGAAAACTGTCCCCCTTCCTCAGTCTGACGCAGATCCACAGAGAGATCAGCAGTGCTTGTCACTGGACTGGTTATTCAGATCCAGAGGTCGTTTACAGAAGTGCCTCCTTGCTGCTGCTCTAATCCAGAATCACAGCCCTGTCCCCTGCCCAGATGTGATTGCAAGACAAGACACAGTGGACAAATGCAGCAGACAGACAGAGTTCATGCACGAGCTTCCTCTTACCCCATTGGCAGCAATCTGAATGACTTCTGTTATAAAGTTAACCAAAATACACACATACAAAACATATGCCCAAGGCTACAACTGAGAATTTTCTTGCTCGGACCTTTATGTACCCAACTCAATCAACATTACTGGGAAAGTCAAAGATGACTAAGACAACATTAATAGTTAGGGATGAAGAAGCAGGTTAGCAGCTAGCACCTGGCTCTGCTGTAAACGATACTGAGATGACCATAACCAGATATATCCCATCTAATGAAACAGGAATACACTGCTGACTGCCCTCAACCTGCCAAGGAAAGATGCTTTGCTTTGTGAGCAATGGTTTTAATGCAGTCCATTGCACCAGCAACTGAAATTTCTCTTTACATTATCTGGCCACCGCACAGTCGCAGGGATAGGACAGCTGTGGGCTAGAAGTCCCTCAGTTTACTATTTGCTGTGAGAAGCAAGCAAGCGGTTTGTCTGCACCAAATGGAAATGGCACCATTTCCATTCGAAAAGAAGATCTCTTCAGTTCTCTCTCCAGAGCTGCACCCATTGCTCAAGAAAAGAGGGTATGAGAACTCATCAGAAGAGAGTACATCTTGGTTAGAGGTCTTTTAATAATGAAAACATATTAGGTAGATAAGACATATTGTAAGCCCACCACACCTTGAAAAATTAGAATAGACTCTCACACTAGATCAGTGAGAGCCTTCATAGATATGTCAACTTTATTATATCTTCTTGGAGGGTATAAACATAGAAGGGGATGCCCCCTTCTGAAAAAACATACAGAATTAGCAAGGTAGCTGAAGAGCAGCTACTCAAGATGGCAACTTATGCTTACACTGAGCACACCAGGTTCAGAAAAAGGGCTTGCATCTGCAATTGCAAGTCTAAAAGAAAATATCATGGTTATTCTTGTTTAGTGATTCTAGTCTCATATGGGAGTTTAGTTTATCAGAACAAAACACCTTCTTGGAAGCCATAATCATTAACCACTTCCCTGCCATCATCACCATAATACAGAGGCTACAACCACCAATTCCTAAAAAAATAAAGTCTTCAACAAAAAAGTCATAAATAATTTAATTAAACCTCCTTTGAGACAGAAGGGCAAGCACTGGAATCTTCTTCTATTGCCTTCTGGTTTCTAAATCTTTGCAATAGTCTTTTGGTATGCCTTCCAGCTTTTCCTTCTGACCGCAGAAACTACGTACGTAATTCCATTTCCAAGTAAATTTCACAGTAAAACCTAAAACCACCTTAAGAAAAACACCATCACAAAGCAAGACTCACAGGTAACACCTGAAGGTATCAACATATCAGGCCACCACAACCAGACAGCACTGGAAGGTTACGCTGCAGCTTCCTTAGTCTCTGTGGCTGCCCTGCTTGGCTTGGGGAACTGAGTCAGCACATGTTGGTATAGCTGGGAAATGCAGAGACTGGGCTGAACAAGCTGCTGCTTGTTTGTAGGTGTTTGCTTTAGTAACAAGGAACATGGACCTAAATGAAGCAACATTGGAACTGAACAAGAACACAGATCTAAGGAGCACAAAGACATGATGGTCAAGCCAGAGTCCCACAAGCACATGAAGCCATTCCTTATCCATGGGGAAACCAAACATTATTGCAGAAAACCACATTCCAGCTTTCAGCAGGTTTTTGCCCATGAAACAGTCAAAGCAAGCCCACCTCCACAGGTGAAAGAATGTACACGGCCTCTGGTTGAACACCACTGTGAACGCAAGGCTCAGCACATTAGCACAGTGCAGTGGGGAACTCATATCAGACTCACAGCAAATGGTACTAATGGCTTACGCATCCTCAACTACTCATAAATACAAGCTGGATGTAGGGAATCTCTCGTCTGCACTGACTTCACAAATACAGAAGCTACATGGGTTATGCATATGTTGCAGATAGTCAGGTTTACTTTAAATCAGTATGACTCTTTTGTATTAATTGGAGGACTTAAAGTTGCATTTCTCCTTCTAAATTCTCAACTTAAGAAATGTTATGGACGTTTGAAGCATACACTAATGCTGAGTAATATTAAGAAAAAAGAAAATGTACTACTATTATAATTTGCATAGGCTTTGGACACACAAGTGTGAATGTTGCTTCTTTCCACCTTGGATCTTCCCTTTCAGCAAACTAACTATTTCCAATATTGATTCTAAAAGGAAAAACACAAACAGAAATTTACAGGCTGTTCAGAAAAAGTCATCCAAAAAAACCTGCTCTGAGGTATCCTAAAAAATACATGAGAGTGCTGTATCTTTCTGTCATAAAAAGTACAGCGTTTGATAGCTATTAAGAAACAGTAAGAATAATTCTATTATTTAATCTTAAACCCCTTGGAAATCCCAGCTTTTCCCACTATTGCATTACAGTGCATATGCAGCAAGTCTTTTATCTCCAGTGGTGCAGTGTATTTTCCAGCTTTACTATTTTCTGGTGCCATTTGGCTTACACGGTAAGAATACACACTACCTGCATTCTACAGTGTATTATTTGAGAAGCCATGACCATGTAATCAAATACTGTTTCATAAGCAGACAAGCAAAACAGTGCCAACACAAGGCTGAAGAACTATTTTTAATACCAGTATTTCATAGTCTGAGTCCTTCACTAGACATTTTATGTGATCTTAAGTGTCTGTTGGGCCAATTTGTGGAATTCCTAGACTTTAATATGAAGAGAAAGGAACACCATGCCAAGACCACATCCCCAAACACTTCTACACGGGATGCAAGGAAGAGTTTTCTTAATATTCAGAAAAAGCAGAGCACCCCCAGTCCTGTCCAAAACCGAAGGATTTTCTCCCCCAATGAAGTTTGCATGGCCTTGAGGTCTGCCATTGCATCCTTACCATTAATGGAGCTCTGCAAGACCCTTGGCTGCCTTGTGGAGCCTTGCATCAGAAGTGGGTAACGTGCCCTGCTTCGAACAAGTGAAATATCTCATGGGCAGACAAGAATGACCGCTGCCTACTCCTTTCGTACAGCTCGTACCCAAACAGGAAGATAAGAAAACAGCCCTCACCTACTTCGGGAGTTGGGAGTACATAGCAGCAGGGGCTCGAACCTTACAGAACTGTAATCCCAAACATGCCCTTGGGTGAATGAGGTCACCCAGCCAGCAAGGCTGCTCATGGGGACAGCAGCTGGGAGATTGTGGCTGGAATTAGGCTGGTTTACAGATGTACCTGTGCTGCAAATGCCACAGCACTATTAACTTGACTGCCCTCCCCACTAAACCACACTGGAGAAGGGGAGCAGGGCAACAGCTGAAAG